AACAACAACCACAACCACAACCACAACCACAACAACAACGACAACCACAACCACCACAACAACCACAACCACCACAACCACCACAACCACAACCACAGCAACCACAACAACCACAACCACAACAACCAAAACCACAACCACCACCACAACCACCACCACAACGACCAGAACCACCACAACCACAACCACAACCACAACAGCAACAACAACAACGACAACAACCACAACCACCACAACAACAACCACCACCACTACAACAACAACAACAACAACAACAACAACAACAACAACAACAACAACAACAACAACAACAACAACAACAACAGGACCACGACCACCACCAGCACCACGACCACCACCACCACGACCACCACGACAACAACAACGAGGCCACRACCACCACCACCACAACAACAACAACAACCACCACGACAACCACAACAACCACCACAACCACAACCACAACAACAACCATCACCACCAGCACCACAGTTACCACAACAACAACCACAACAACAACAATAACAACAACAACAACCACAACCACAACAACAACCACAACAACAACAACAAGAACAACAAGAACAACAACAACAACAACAACAACAACAACAACAACCACAACCACAACCACAACCACAACAACCACAACCACAACAACCACAACAACCACAACCACAACAACCACAACCATAACAACCACCATAACAACAACCACAACCACAACAACCACCACAACCACAACCACCACCACAACCACAACCACAACAACAACCATCACCACCAGCACCACAACTACCACAACAACAACCACAACAACAACGACAACAACAACAACAAGAACAACAACAACAACAACAACAACAACAACAACAACAACCACAACCACAACCACAACAACAACCACTACAACAACAACCACAACACCAACAACAACCACAACAGCAACACCAACAACAACAACAACAACAACAACAACAACAACAACAACAACAACAACAACCACAACAACCACAACCACAACAACCATAACAACCACCATAACAATAACCACCACAACAACAACCACTACCACAACAACCACCACCACCACAGCCACCACCCGCATAATAAGCACCACCACCACCACCACCACCACAACAACAACAACAACAACAACAACAACAACAACAACAACAACAACAACAACAACAACAACAACAATCGCCACCACAATAACCACCACCACAACAACAACAACAACAACCATCACCACCACAACCACAACAACCACCACGACCACCACAACAACCACCACCACTACCAGAACAACCACCTCCACCACAAGAACATCTACCACCACCACAACCACAACCACAACCACAACCACAAGAACAACCATTACCACCACAACCACAAACACAACCACCAGCACAACAACCACAAACACAACCACCACCACAACAACCACGACCACGACAACAACGACCACCACCACGACAACAACAACAACAACCACAACAACAACCACAACAACAACCACCACCACCACAACAACCACCACAATTACCACCACAACAACAACGACAACAACAACAACAACCACAACAACCACAACCACCACCACCACAACAACAACAACAACCACAACGTCAACAACAAAAACCATCCCCTCCACAACCACCACCACCACCACCACAACAACAACAACAACAACAACCACCACCACCTCAACAACAACCACCACCACCTCAACAACCACCACCAGCACAACAACAACAAGGACCACAACCACAACCACAACAACAACCACAACAACCACCACCACCACCACCACCAGCACAACCACCACAACAACCACAACAACTACCACAACCACAACAACAACCACAACAACAACAACAACCACAACAACAATAACAACAATGACAACGACAACGACAACAACAACAACAACAACCATCACGACCACTACCACCACCACCACCACAAGGACAACAACGACAACAACGACAACAACGACGGCAACGACAACAACAACAACAACCACAACAACCACAACAACACGACAACGACAACAATGACAACGACGACAACGACGACGATGACGACAACGACAAGGACAACGACAATGACAATGACAACGACAATGGCAACAACAACGTCAACAACAATGACAACGACAACGACAATGACAATGACAATGACAACGACAATTACAACGACAACGACAACGACAACAACAACCACAACCACAACGACAATGACAATGACAACAACAACAACAACAACAACAGGGGGCTGTGCTCAGGTAGCTCATGGGCTGTCACAGGTTATAGATCCTGTATGCAGTGACCAGCGAGGTGCTCAGGGCTGCTCTTTCTGCTCCTAAGTCCCCGCCTAACAGGCCTTTGTTTCTTGTCTTTCTCTCCATTTCAGCTTGTGGTTGAGGCAGTCCTCTGTGACAATGTGTATGCACAGCTTCACAACATCCTTGTGACCAATCCTGGCCTGTCTAGCCTGAAAGGTCAGACCTAGCAGGTCACATCGACTCTCATGGACACAAGACAATGTTCCAACACTCTGCGACCTTCTCCGTTGCACAACCACAAACACTGTTACACTCGGCTGTAGCCGCCATCGTCTCTGTCACAATCACTACAATGGCATGGTTTCTGCATCCATTTGTGCAGAGGACTGGCCCACCGTTCCTGACTGCAGGCACCCTCCGCATCCGGACACTATATGTCCATTTTGTGGCCATGGGCGCTATACTGAATGCATGCTCTTTTGCGGTGACCGTTCTTCTTTCATTCTGGCCTGCAATCGACATGCCATTTGTCGGGGGTGTATGGCGGGCATGCTCAATGCCACCCGTCGTGGCAATTGTTGCACTGAGAATGCTCAGCTAGGTCTTCCAGGTGTTCATCCACGTCATCCTTACAATGTATGTCCTCTCTGTCGTCAAGGACATACTCATTGTTGAGCCTTTTCTTATCCTCTTTTGCCTTCATCTTCACTCCACACTCCATACTTTCCCTTACTTTCCCTTTATCGTTCTTTGTTTGTCTGCTCTCCATCTCTCCTCCCTGTGTTTATCCCCCCCCCYTTCACTCTGCCTCTTTCTCACAGCGTACAAGTGGGCTGTTATGGCACACGGGGATGGGGGCAGCTCGCGCTCAACTTCATCAACGTGGCGAGCCTTGTACGTGAGAGGCACGGTGAAAGGGGAGTCAAAAGAAGAAGGAGAAAAATGAATGGTTTCACTGTGCCCTTCATGTTTGTCCTGTTTTTTTAATTTTTAATTTTTAATTTTTGCCGTTTGTTTTGCAAAACTTGCGCTCTTTTAGCTCATAGTTATGTGACAATTGTAATGACCCGTCATAACACAGACTGAGAACACTGCTGATTTCTGAAGTTCTGCCGATGGAATGGATGCCTTGATGAGATTCCCGCATTCTGCTGTGTTTCCTAAGTCTGTCTGTGTGTGTGCGTGGTTGTGACCGGCATGCCTGTCTGAGTGATTGTTGATATGAGTGTGTGTGGGACCCGCAAGGGTACTTGCTTGTTTGGTAGGCCCGTAGGGCCGGTACTTACCTGTGGCCGTGGCATTGAGGGTTGTAGCAGGGAAAACACTCAAGTGGCGAAGCTAGCGGCCCTGAGGCCCTTGGGGTAGCGGAAAAACACTCAAGTAGGCCGGTAGGCCGATACTGCACCCCACTGCAGTTGACGTGAGGGGTACTGGAGGCCGAGCAGAAAAAGACAA